CTCCTTCCCCCACCCCCCTCCTCCTCCTCCTCCCCGTCACGGGGCCTGAACTCTGGGTCTGGACACTGTCCCTCAGCTCTTCAGCTCAAGGTTAGCACTCTACCACTTGAGCCACAGTGCCACTTCCAGCTCTTTTTGGCTTATGTGGTGCTGAGGAATCGAACATAGGACCTCATGCACTTTACCACCGAGTCACCTTCCCAGCCCTTCTTTTTTTTAACCAGCAAAAGCTCTACTTCTTATTATGCTCTTCTAGCTAGTTAGTGAGTAAGATCTTTGTTTGATTAGATTTCAAAAAATGTTTATTCACTCAATACTTATATATTTATATTTTTTCTTACTTATCTGAGTGTCAGGAACAATTCTGGGATGTATACCAGTAGTGACAAGTAAATCTTCTGACACCAGAGAACTACTTTTCAGCAGACAGTGAACTTTCAAAATAAAAATTGCCGTGGGTGATTATCTAAATTTTTGCTAAATGCTAGAAGGAAAACTAGTCCTGAGGTAGAGATGGTAGATGTTACTCTTGTCTATTTTATAATCAAGGAAGAAGGTACCATTAAGGAGAAATGGAGTAGCACTTGCCATGGGCAGATTATGTAAAGAACATCTTAGACAGGAAACCACAGATGCTAACGAGCTGTGATGAGAGAATGCTTGAACATTGTCATTCTGAAAAGCTAGCTCTAACTTCAAAGTTCCATTTCATAGATTTCTCCCACTTAACACTTGCTCTAGGGCCAGTTGGTGTAATCTACTATGAAAACACAGTTGTAAAGAGGGATGAATCCTTTTTCAGTCAATTTCACTCTTCTTGACAGCTTATAAAGGTCATTGGAAAAGAAAGTTGAAACCCATAATTAAGGGACATTTGTTGCCAGCTGACTCTGTTGCACCCTTGTCTCATTCATTTGAACAATTGCTTGTAATTTGTGGGAGGTAGGAAGAAATGAACATTTATAATAAGGAAAGCCTTGACAAATTACTGCAATTTGAGACAATTAAGTCTATCAGATATTACTATATTGCATAAAGAGTTTTTGATTAAGAGCATAGCTCTGGCATATGAAGAAATAGAACAGGACACAACCACTGGAGATAAACCCGACGGCATACATATATTGTTTAAAGAATAGTAATAACACATACTACTGGATGAAATATTATTTTTAAGAAATATATGATGAATGGGTAAAGTCACTGTCAAAAAATAAAAATTATAAAAGCAAATCCATTCCTCATACTGTACTCAAAAATAAACTCTAAATGAATAAGATAACAGAATGAGAAAATGGAAACCTGATAGATTTTGGTGCATTAATGCCAGCACCTGAATATACAGTGACAACAGGATGCTAAAGCACACATAGAGAACATTTTATTATAGTATAATCTGTAACAGGGGGAAAAGACATGTATGCTGGAACAGCCATACTATGGAGAACTTAAAACTTGGAAAAAATGAGTAAAAAATGATAAAACTCCTCATGAAGTGTAATAGGGTGATTTGTTTTTTTTAAAGAATGAAGTTGTAAGCATGTATGCATTTTATAGTACTAGAAATATATAAAGGAATTACTCTTAGTATGAATATGAAATATTTCCATCAAACTATAAATTTCTATCACCATGAGAAATTTGTATATTTATATTAAATGTACATATACCTATGTATGGGTGTGTATATATATCAGTTGAACTTTGACAAAAGCATAAACAGGTGGAGGTATGGCTCAAGCCTACCTTGAGTTAGGCTTCAAGCATGAAGTGCTGAGTTCAAGCCCTGAACTACCAAACACTGTAAAGAAAAGAATCTCACCAGACCTATGAACCAAATCAAATGAAATTACTTACTAGTCATAATGTCTAGAAAGGAGAAAAGGAGTTACTTGACACACAACTGAAAAAATGACAATATAAAAGAAGATAGTATTGTCAGAGGAAAATGTTTTAATTGGTATTTTTCTCAAATATGCAAGCATTGGACTTTATAAGTTTATGCTTTCTGAAATTAATTTGTCAATTTTACCATGTATTTTTATATTTTTGCAAAATTTCCTTACACATTCCTTATAGTGCCATTAGAAACGTGATCAATGAAGACAATCCCACAATTGAATATTCTTTTTAATGCTTCTTTTTAACTATATTATCTGATTATTGCACAAACAAATTATTAATTCAATATTTTTATTAAGAGTTGTAACCTATTATTTGCCATAATCACAAAAGATAATATAAAATTAGTGACATGTTATATTTCAATGAATTTCATTGTAGAGTAAAGATAAATTTATGTACATTTGTCAGTATCACTTGAAAGTAAAACTCATATGGTTTATTCACATAAAAACCAGTAGTGTTGGGGTGGGAAGTTGGATCAGTGGTAGAGTGCTTGCCTTGCATGCATGAGAGCCTGGGTTTGATTCTTCAGCACCACATAAGCAGAAAAAGCAGGAAGTTACACTATGGCTCAAGTGGTAAAGCGCTAGCCTTGAGCTGAAGAGCTGAGGGACAGCACCCAGGCCCAGAGTTCAGGCCCCACAACCGACAAAAAAAAAAAAAAAAATTAGTAGTGTTCAATAGTCAGTTTTAAATGGTAATGTTTAAAATTATGAAAATATTTATATTGTTATACAATTTACACTTTCAGAATTATGATATTTGATTCCATATCTCCTTATTGAGAATAGTGTCACCTCTATCAATGTTCAGTAGTACACAATTTGCTCAATTAAAAAGGGCTAACAAAACCTCATGATACATGACAGGACACACAGCAGTCAGTCTGAAGTAGCCAAATGAACATTTTGAGCATCAGAACAAGTAACAGAGACATATTCTTTAAGTACAAAGAGTTTTCCTTTCCTATTATTTAAGCAAGGGATCAAATGCCTCAGCCTTGACATCAGGTGTCACTGCCAGGGGCTGAAAAGGACAAAACAGGACCAGGAACATAATCCTGTCAAGGACCTTTACTCAATTTCATCCCTAAGTAAACAGACAAACTGAATTTGAAGAACATTTGTAGAACAGCAGTTTGGGTTGACTTAGGATGTTAGCATCACCCATTGCAAAAAATGAGATGTACAAATCGTTATGTCGAAAAACGAACTTTATAATTTTGGCGGGGAAGGGGGAGGTTGGGGGGGTGGGGGAGGAGAGAATGGGAAGGGATGGGAAGGGGAAACAAAGGAGGAGGCAACAATGTTTGATAAGAAATGTACTCATTATCTTGCCCATGTAATTGTAACTTCTCTGTATGGTATTTTCACAATTAAAAAAATTAAAATTAAAAAATAGAAAAAAAAGATAAAAGTACCCAGGCCCCAGTGGCTCATGCCAGTAATCCTAGTTACTCAGGAGGCTGAGACTTGAGGATCACAGTTCAAAGACACCCTGGGCAGGAAAGTCCATGAAACTCTTATCTCCAATAAACCACTCAGAAAACAGGAACAGGAAGTGGTACTGTGACTCAAGTGGTGGAATGCTAGCCTTGAGCCGAAGAGCTGAGGGACAGCGCCCAGACCCAGAATTCAAGCCAAATGACTGACAAACAAACAAAAAAAGATAAAAGTAATGTGACTAATACATTAGTTGCAGTGCAGTCATTTTGTAACTTTATTGTGCAATGAAAATTTTCAGAAGAAAATGCTGAAATGCTAATCAATATATCCATTATACAAGAAATCCTCATTTCTTTGATGCAGTTAAGGGCCATTCATTGAAAATTTTGTTAGATATTATTTGTAAGATTTCAATTTGCATAACCATTGTAATGAAATGGAAATTCGGAGGAAATTAAGATAATTTAATCTGAAATATTTAAGACACTTTATACATTTCTGGTGGTTTATGTTTTCATATGTCTGTAAGAAGTGGTGTTTTATTTTCTATAATATTTAGTCAACGTATTTGTGGTTTTTATACTTAGATTGTTACCGTGGAAATGGAAAAAATTACATGGGAAATTTATCCAAAACAAGATCTGGACTAACCTGTTCAATGTGGGACAAGAACATGGAAGACTTACACCGGTGTGTACATTTCTTTCTCATAATCCAATGTAGAGATAACGGCATTAATATAGATCCAGACACATTCATACATGAGTAATTCCTTTCCATTATCACTATAGGATGGTAAACACAAAAATGATTATTCTGCATAACTCAGAACATAGAGTCTCCATGAATCAACTTTAAATACATAAATATTATATATCATATTTGTTATCATATATTAATATAACTATATAGTATATTTTATACATAATTATATGTTATATATCATATATAATTATATATTAATATAATAATATGTAATATAAATATATAATTCAACGGAACACATGTGTGTCAAAATGCTATTTGTGCTCTGAACCTGGGGAATGTAAACACAAGATGGGTGGAAATATATTTGTTACCAAATTTCAAAGAAAATATGGTCACAATGAAAAATAAAACCCACTGTGTGACTTAATAAACAGTGAATAATTTAGTGGGACATGTAGTGTTTTAAACACTATGTTAAGAGCTTATAATTAATCATAATTTATAGTAATCCTGAGAGAAAGATCAACAAATAGTCACTTTCCTATACATACCTTAAACATCTACTGAACTATTAAAACTTGTAAACAAGTGTTCTTGAGTAGCTTTAACAAAAACAGGTAAAAGTGAGTTCATTTATCTAGCTACAATCATCCATCTTATTTTCATCAAAATTTAATAAACTCAGGTGATTGTGTTTTGGTAAACATAAGATGGATGATTTATAATTATTACATTAATGTATATAATTGAAGAAAAAATTTGATACATTACAGAATTTTATTAAAATATTAAATTTCAGAGAATTTTTATATTATATTGGAAATATATTCACAAGGTAACATCTATATGGTCATAGAAATAATGCTAGTGTATAAAAAGTTTTTGAAATATGACATATAATTGTGATTACAAATAGATTTTTAATAAACTCAGAATTTATATGCTAGAACAAAAGAAAAATACATTATAGGTATCATTGGGTCCCTGCAATGTAATTGTTTTACATGTTATGGCATTTGACCACCAGCCACTAAATGGAAGCTATTTCCATATGTGAATAAGGATTTATGGGCTCAGAGAAGTTGAATCACTTTATTTTATTTTTATTTTAAAGGTTTGATTTGCTTCCAAGTTGCGTTTAATAGTGGATGAGTCAGTTAAGTAATTTATGTCACAAATGAATATTAATTGTTCTAAAGTTCTATTCTCCCCTTAGAAGGCACCTCACACTGCTGTCTGTGATTTCACCTGGGAGGCTTAGAAGTTTTGGGATGATAGGGTTTATACCACAGAAACAAGCAACACCTACAAATAGAAACTCCCCTGCTCAGTCATGAACAAGACTGAACATTTGACAGGATGCCACCAGAATATTTGATATATTTATTCGGGTATTCTCAGTGGTTAATAACCATTCTTAATTAACTGACTTAGGCTACATTTTTGCAAATAATTAAAAATTCATTTGGAGAAAGTTTATAGGGAATTGGTGGGTGATTAAGTTGCTTAGCATCTTTTCTGATTAAGAACATTTTATGCAAGGAGGAAGGAGAGCATTATGATTTAAAACACTGACTCTGGAAACCATAGGTTCCAAACCGGTTTTTTCATGAGTGTGTGCGTGCTGGATCCGGGGATAGAATTCAAAGTTTTGTGCTCTCCCTTGGCTTGCTTGCTTACTGCTGGTGTTCTACCACTTGATTCATGTCTCTAATCTGGCATTTTCTGATTAATTGGAGATAGAGTCTTAAACACTTTTCTGCCTGAGCTGGTTTTGAACAGAGATCCTTACGTCTTAGCTGCTTGGCTTGCTAGGATTATAGGCATGAGCCACCAGTGCCATGTGACCTTAGAATACTTAATTGTCCTTTTGATTTCTTCAAATGTAATAAATACAGAATAGTCTTAAAGCCTGTCTGACAAGATTGGCCTAAATTTTTGTTATCGGTAAAGACTTAGAAGGATCTATCATGTAATAAGCCTGCTGCTGTTTCTGCTTCAGAAAATAAAGCTGGGTCAGGAAAGAAAATCCATGTTTTCATATCCAAGTCCTTTCTAATTAAAGTCATAGGTCCATAGTCAAGAATGGTAGTAACTAGTAGGGCAAAATGAATGCCATTATAGTTTTCACAACAGTTGTGGGCACATAGAATTTGACTTCATTAATGTTATTGAAGCAAGAGAAAATATTGGTCTTACAAAAATAACCATGGTCTTATAATAAAAATACAGACTTTTTGCTTTTCTTTTGAAATGAATTTTTATTTACACATTAAAAAAATTTAAATGTTACTCAATTATCTGCAAAAAATATGTTGTAACCTTATGACCCATGATATTTCTAAAACTTAGTTATTTTATTGTCATTTTACTTTTAATTTGTAATGTGCTTGCTTTCTTCTTCTTTGTGAAAGAGTATGATGGTGGTGTTTACATGTGTCTGAAACAGAGAAAAATACTTTAAAATATTGCTATGTTACTACTGCAATACTTAAATAGAAGCAGAGTTTTGGATCATTTTATGTAGGCTTTCATATTCACAAATTAGAAAGTGCTTCCATACTGAAAACTAGCAAAAAAGAAACTGCTTTCAAAATAATCAAACTGTGTGATATTTACAATGAATGTGTTATCATAGGGTTCTATCTTTTGTCATATTTTGCATCTCCTGGATGTAGTAAATACTTTCTGATGTTCAGCTTGTGGTTTCTGCAGTCATATCTTCTGGGAGCCAGATGCTAGTAAGCTGAACAAGAATTACTGCCGGAACCCTGATGATGATGCTCACGGGCCCTGGTGTTACACAGGGAATCCTCTCATTCCCTGGGATTACTGTCCCATTTCCCGTTGTAAGTATGTTTAGTGTTCTGTTTAGCTGAAATACTTAACATGTACTGTGTCTTTACTAAAACAATTTCTTAGTCACAGATATAAATAATCTAAGATTATAGAGTTAATTCCAAAATGGGAGTATTCTCTAGAGAGTAACTCAGACACATACCATATGCAGGCTCTTTCAGTCTCTCTGTGTGTATCTCTTTCTCTCTCTCAGAGAATTATGTTCACATTTTAACATTGTTTATTCTGAAAAGATTGGAATCCAGAAGCAGCAGATAGTCATGATTCTAAGAATACACCAGAGAAAATGCCCCAGCCAGACCCTGAATCTAAGTGCTCTGTGTCTGAACATAATATAGCATTTTCCTATCCTAAGACCCTGCATCCACCCCCCGCAAGTACACCAAACAATCCAGATAGATAGATAGATAGATAGATAGATAGATAGATAGATAGATAGATAGATAGATAGATAATAGATAAATAGAATACATGTCTGATATACATCTTTGAAAATGCATTTTATATATGTTACTCTTAAATACATGTCCTATATCTCTCTACAGATAAAAAAAAAGATGTGAAAAAGGTAGGGGCAACATGAAGAAAGGAATCTGCAAGAAAAGAGTTAATAAGAAAATGAAACCACACTGAAATTAGTGAGAACAAAATGAAATTGACAAAGCCTGAGAAATCATTTCTATTAGTCAAGGTGGCAAATGACACAAATGGTTAAGACTCAAAGCACTGAGAACTTAGACAATCTGTTCATCACAAAACCATGCTAATTTGAGTAAATGAAAAATCCTAAGTGGAAGTCAATTTGTAAAATTGTATCAAAAGGAATAGTTATATGAAAGTGGAGCAGCTTATGCATTATTAACATTTGGTTTGGATGATTCTTTGTTGTAGAAGGGTGTTCTTGTGTGATGTATTTGCATTTCAATTTTCAAAGCCAATGCTACTATTACTAGTTGTTACTGCTAGTTATAGCAGATGGAATTTGCATTTTTGTGTTAACATTTCATGAAACACAAAAATATTTTCACTTATGGTGAGAAACTGTCTCTTGAATTTGATACAAATTTTACAAAATACACATCAGTATATGCTACTATTTCTTTTATCAGATCTCTCTTCTTAACATGAGCATTTGTGCTGCCTTCGGTTAGATTCTTGTTACTGACTTGTCACACAAGTTTCACATGTAAAGCTATTTGAACCAGGGAGTTTAACACTATGGCTAGGCATGTTTGCTGCAAATACAGTGATATGGATACATAAAATAGTAAAATGTTTTCTTCACTTTATGAAAAGGTCTTTTATATATTAACACATAGAGGATATATTTGCATTTCAATAATTTTAATACACATCACTGGATCTTAATGTATGATGATATTGCCATCTTCTCACTAATATATGTATGTTTGTGTGTGTATGTATGTAAATATGTATGTGTTGGTCTGTGTGTTTATGTGTGTGTGCATGTACGTGCCTCGTTCTATTATATATATATATATATATATGTACTATATTTAACTAGTAATACCTAAGACATGGACCTGATCAATATTATAAATGGATTCAGAAATTGTTTATGATAACAATAATTCAATGTTTTATATGTTTGCAAAGAAATCAGCTATTATAATAAGTTTTATTGTTGTTGTTGATGATGGTTGTTGGGCTTGAACTCTGGGTCTGAGCACTGTCCCTCAGCTCTTCAGCTCAAAGCTAGCACTCTACCACTTGATCCACAGTGCCACTTTTGGTTTTCTGGAGGTTTATTGGAGATAAGAATCTCTTGGGGGGGCTGGGAAGGTGGCTAGACCCCCGAAAAAAAGATTTGAGTTGATATTTTTTTTTAATTTTTTTGAGTTGATATATTTTTATTTTTTTTATTTTGGGTCCAGTCCTGGAGCCTGAACTCCGGGCCTAAGCGCTGTCCCTCAGCTCTTCAGCTCAAGGCTAGTGCTCTACCACTTGAGCCACAGCACCACTTCCGACTTTTTTCTTTTTGCTTATGTGGTGCTGAGGAATCGAATCCAGAGCCTCAGGCATGCAAGGCAAGCGCTCTACTACTGAGCCACCTTCCCAGCCCTTGAGTTGACAATTTTTTAACATCAGAGAGTGCACTAATCATTTCCACACTACATTTCTCACAACATATGTAAAGGTTTTATTCATTTTTCCCAAAATGCTTATAAAATATCATCCATATTTTTTTTAATTTATAAAATATGTAAAAAATGTAGAAATGCCTATAAGTGTGCCTGGCCACATATCCTTAGTACCACTGAGAGTATTCAGATTAAAAATTTCCATCATGTTTCCTAAATTGGATAACAGTCCATGATTCTGTCTTGGCCAAGATACTTACCTACTTATGACTCACATTCTGTTTTTGTAAAGCTGTATCTGTATACAGTTTTATTTACATGCATGTATACATACTTCTGTATGTACACAAAAATGGAACAATGAAGCTTGTTAAGATTAGTTTGTGAAGAGGGAGGGGATGAAGGAGAGTGAAGGATGGGTGAGTCTGATAAAGGTGTATTGTACCCATATATGGGCATGTCAAAGTGAAACCCCTTGTACAAATAACTGATGATAATAATAAAATTTAACGAATCTTATTGGTCCACCATGAAAAAAATCAGTTGCCTAATAAGCACTTTAAAACTGAGGTTCTATTTCTGGGTTTACATTTTCATTTCCAATATTGTTTAATTGAGCTACTGGTACACACAAAGACCCATATAATTGACTAGGTACAGAAAAATAGATATTTTTTTTTAATCTCAAATGCTTTAGCGTAGAGAGAGTTGCCGCTTCATGGAAAATTTGTGAATGCCATATATTTCTTTAGGTAATATCTCATTTCCATTCTTGTTTCATATATTAGTATTAAAGTAAATTTACTATGTAATCATATTGTTATAGAGTTGTTTATATAAATGTATCTGTATGATGTACAACATCTGAGATTGAAAAGCAAGATGAGCTAAAGTAGAAGGAAGATGAAAAATTTATGATTTTTTTCCTTTACTTGCATTCATTTAGTTAACTAGATCTGGAAAATGAATTTAGCCTCTACCATGCAGTAATTCTCTTCAGTATCTCCACAAAAAATGGTCAGATTTTCAATATTCCAAAATATTCCCTGTTCTCTTATTGTTTTGTTACTTGCTTCTCTGAGCTCAGACATTATCAAGGATTAATAACCAGCTGTGTGTAAGTAGTGCTTGCCTTCAGTTCTGCACAGTTAAGACATTAAGCTTCAGGAAATGCCTCATGTCCCACTCATTACTGTAAAATATTTCCCAAACCCAAGTATCTTTCAAGCCATTCTTCTTGTAGCCAGTAAACTCCATTAGAGAACCCTGCAAAAGAAGTAGATTATGTAGAATTAAGGTGCAGTTTCCCAAGTCCAAGTAGTATCAATGGGTAATTTCCAGTGTTTCTTTTCTTTTTTTTAACATACTTATTTTTGACTAATAGCACACACACACACATACACACACAAATCTAGATTATTCTGGCAACAACAGCAGATGTTCCTTTTCTAGAAATTAAATAACACATATTTATATTTTTCAGTTTTCCAAAGTATTGCAGTTTCAGTTATGTTCAATCAAATACAAATGAAAATAGTTTTTTAGAAAAAAAAAAGAATGTTTCAATGAACAAAACTGCCTTATGAAACCTCCGTGCAAACAACTATAAATGAAAATCCTTTTCACTGGGCTGGCCATTGAGTCTAAAATGGTCCATTTTAGAAGACTGAAATAGGTTGTTGCTGCTGGCAGTAAATGCAGTGTGCCCAGGATCACCAGACCATACTCACCTGGAACCTCTCACCATCATAAAAATTTTAAAAAGCTCCTTATCTGAGACCAATAGGCATGCATTCACAATGTAATACAGAAAAAATGACACTGAAAATAGAATAAAAATATTCAAACAGATATTACTACAGTTTATCTTTAATGATAATCATTTTAGTGATGTGTCCAGTTCATAGTTATATTAAAATAGATTGATTTTATAAAGAAGAATATGTTTATATATATACATATATATATGAGTTATATACTTACCTACAAATTCATTTTTACAGGTGAAGGTGATACCACACCTACAATAGTCAATTTAGACCGTAAGTAGAATATAAAACAACTTGAGACTCTGTGTCACAAATAATGCCATTTTATTAGATAGGAATATATTACCATAATAACTTCTGACATAAAATGAATCAATCTGGTTTTATATTTAAAGTATGTCTTTCCTTATGTGTAGTTGTAACATAGTCAGCATATTCTGATTATGGAAATATAACTGTCAGGAAATTTACAAGATATCCCATATGACTTTGAAAACAGCACTTACTTACTTTTAGTTTGGGGCACAATGTATAGAATGGGCAAACTTTATATACAACATCCTCCAAGTAAAATCAGGTTGCTAGAGACAGAATGAAACCAGGGATTGAAATTGTTTTATCTTTAAACCATTTTTTGTTTTTGCCAGTTTTGTATTTTACTAAGCCAAAGATGACCACCTAAGAAGTTCAGTTAATTCTCAGTGTCAGAATCTGTTGGAAGCTCTTGTTTTGATTTCCACATATTATTTGGGCTGAAAGAAGTTACTGAAATGTTTTGCTGTTCTAAAACCACCTGCTGTGCCTCAGGCTGAGGAAGCAAATGAAAATCTAATCTAGACCATGGACAGAGTACAAAGGATAAGGCAAGGAACAGAGGAAGGTCAGGAAAAATGTTTCCTCCAAAGAATTCTGGGTTATGTCATTTGGGCATACTGATTTGGATATAATATTGTCATTTGAATATTGTTTCAATAAATATAATATCAGGAGTACATTTCACAATTGCTCTGGGATTTTTTGTTTTTTTGTTTGTTTGTTTTTGGGTGTTTTTTTTTTATCAGTCATGGGGCCTGAACTCTGGGCCTGGGCACTGTCCCTCAGCTCTTCAGCTTAAGGCTAGCACTCTACCACTTAAGCCACAGCACCACTTCTGACTTTTTCTGCTTATGTGGTGCTGAGGAATTAAACCCAGGCCCTTATGCATACAAGGCACGCACTCTACCACTGAGCTACCTTCCCAGCCCCTCGCTCTATGTTCTTAGCCTACAAATAAACAAGTAAAATTTTATTTCATTTTTTGACTCAGGCTACTGATTGTTATTGAGAAATAGCCACTATTTCATTTTGTACTGAGACTAGTGAGGGAAATATATTAGTGTCAGACTTGAAGAATTTGCTAGTTAGTGCATGGTGAAGAAAGTTATTGTATGCCTTATGCAAGCAAGCCTGTTTGCTTTGAGTTGGTTAGTTTTCTGGGTCACTCATTAACAAAGATGAGAGTGGCAAGTGTTAGGAATATATAATACTCTTGTTCTAACAAGTTCTTCTGATGCAAATGCAGCGATTTTATTTATCTAGTTATCATTATACTTAAAATAACTAAGATGTACTGATTGTTTCAAAATGCAATGCCAAAATATTACTTGATCCTGTTTACAGATCCTGTAATATCCTGTGCCAAAACAAAACAGTTGAGAGTTGTAAATGGGATTCCAACACAGACGAATGTGGGATGGATGGTTAGTTTGAAATACAGGTAATTATTAATAAACATATTTTAAAATTATTTGATAAGTCACACAACCAACATGTGATCACATGGTCATGACAATTATGCGAAACACTCAGATGAGAAACTATAAAGGGATCAATCACACTCTTGCCAAACAGTAAAGTCTAGATTTTGCCAGACCTAACGTTTTGTAGTTTAAAAAGGTCCTGTGTATGTTTCCATTGTCCCAGATTTCAAGTCCAATTTTGGCTCTGATTAAATCAAACAAAATTATCCAGAAGATTTTCTTATGATTTAATATCAACATGTAGTTCTAATGCTATTAATGTTCCAATGCAGAATATTATGATTTGATATTTTTATATATCCATGCATATTAATGTAAGACATTGTATTTTTGCTTTGTGTCATTCATATATCATTTTAAAATTACAGAGTATATTTATATGAAAAGATTACAAATATTTTAATCAATAGTATTATTTTTGTAGCAATTAGTGTGGATAAGGAGAGTAAATACATAAATAAAATGCAAATCAAGAGCCTTCAGCAGTACTTTTAAGAGTGAGTGAAATATAAGACTGGGAATATAGCGCTAAGTAGTAAGATTGCCTACTAGCATGTGCAAGGCTCTAGTTGCTCTTCAGCACCAAAAACATAAAAGAGAAATACATACTACATACATGTATATACAAACATATATATATATACTATGTATATAATATAGTATATAGTATCTATATTATATTATTTATAAAATAATGTATAGTACACATTTTATATATTTATTATATTTTTGTTATATAATGACATTCTACATAGACACCACAAATTTTTAGAATAAATTGAAAGCTTAGTAATTATTCTATAAGAATGAAAATTTTGAAAGCTGAGCACTGGTGGCTCACACCTGTAACTCTAGTTACCCCAAAGGCAAATATTTGAATTTCACAGTTTGAACAAATCTGGGAGACTTACAAACAGTTGATTAGCAAAAGACTGGATGTGGAGACATGGCTCAAATAGCAGAGTACCAGCTTTCAGCACCAATGCAAACAAAAGGACCATGTCTGAGTTCAAGACCTAGGATTGGCATCCCTCTAAAAAAAAATTAAATATTCAGCATGAGTTAAAATAAAATCATTATACAATTTCCTGGTCTTTTTCTATCTCTTTCTGCCTCTCTCTCTTTCTCTTTCTCTCATCTTTTTTATCACTATTCATCTCTATCAGAACTTCATCATGTATAAAAAGCAAAATACACATGATTTGTAGCTATAGTTTTCCTTGTATTCTAGACAAACCTCCAAGCTTGTGCATGTTTAGTCCTACCACACAGAGTAACTTGCTTGAACATTGCTTCTCATTCTTCTAATCTTAAATTAAATATTTCCTCTTTAAGTGATTTATCCTGTTTCTTTACCTCAAGGAGAAAGGATAACTCATATTACCTTAATTCATAGTGACATTTAAATAGAATGGGTAACTTGCAACTAAATATGCCAGTTCTTGCTAAGTGTAGACTTTATATCCTATGACTCATGTCACAATAATATTATAGAAAATGGGCTAAAATTCCCTTTTATTAGAGCCTTCTCTCAAGATGGCAACTAATGGTTTGTTGTATTTACGTCAATTATATATTTAATAAGCGTGGTAAAACATTAAAACAAAAAGAAACAACTCATTAAATTTAATATTTAAGCCAACAATTGCAGTGTAGCTGTCCTAAGTTTGAGGTACTGAAAGCAAATTATGAAGCAAACCTGAATATAAGGTTATTTGACAATACATACAATTAATAGAGACAAATTTTTATTATAGTTGATTTTCTTTATTAGAGAAAATTTTTTAGGAATTCAGATCTCTGAGTTAATGAGTGATTCTTTCCTCAATGAAAATTCCTAAGGAAAAAGGATATAGACTTTTGAATTATTTACAAATAAGAGGCTACACAAGGATATTATTTGAATATTACTTGATATATTTTTGGTATATTACTTGAGTAGAGAAATGTCAGTAATAAAACTGTTTTAGAAATGTTTAGAAAAAGATCTTTTCTTTTAATTCCAAGTTCTTAGCAACAACAGCTGTTTGTTATTTTTCCAAAACACATAGTGAACAAAACAGAAATTAAAACTCTATATACACTCTTATCCTCTTGTGTGGTAACAACCATAAATAACTGTGGCCTTAATCTGGAAACCTTCTAGTATTACTCTCTGAAGCACTAAACATCTGCATTCTTTGGAATGTAAATTGTGAAAAGTTATACTTTTTTCTATGTTTCTGCCAAAATAAAAGGATTTATAAAATTTGGATGTCAGCAAATAAATGTCCTCATACTTATTATTGTCTATAGCTATTTTACAGTTTTCTAGGTGATATGTCTTTCAAAATTTAGTTTTATAAGTGAAATATATTACTAGTCTTATGTAACAATAAATTTATTCATAGCCATATTTTAGCATATCAAAACTACATAATGGTAGCGAATGAAGGGAACAGTAGAAAAATAAAAATTGTCACTTCTAGATGTTTTTCAAGGTTAAAGGGAAACCTAAGATTTATATTCTTCATGATCAAATGATGGATTTAAAAGGGTTAAATCTTAATTCTACTCACCCAAATTTTGCAGCCTGTAATTTTTCTCATGATCACAAATGCACAGACACGTATGCATGTGTTTACAGCAAGTTTTCTAAACTATAAAATTAATTTCCTAAAGCGATTCACATTATGAATAAAAATTACTTCAACAATCTCCGACTATTGTTTTTCAGATAAAAGGACCACTACTCACTTTATTTCAGTGAATTCTTGTTTAACTAATGGAGCAGTAGACATTGCATTCATTCTCAGGCTCTTTAGAAACCAGATGTTATTTGTTTCTCTTTCCTCTTTCTCATAGAAATAAACATATCTGCGGAGGATCGTTGATAAAGGAAAGTTGGGTTCTTACTGCAAGACAGTGTTTCCCTGCTAGGTAAAGTGTTTAAAAATCAATATCTGTTTTGAAGACGCAAAAGTACCTGTACCTTCTACTTAGCTTTTAACAGTGCATTCATTTTTACAGAAATTCACCAACATGCATGAACAAATTCACTATTTAAAAAAAAATCAGCTAAGAAAGCTTTGAATTCAGTGGTATTTCCAAGTTCAGGAAGATTTCAACTCACTTCTTTTAGCATTTGTTTCATGTGGAAATATATTTGCTTGAGCTTTGTAAATAAATTATGTCCCCAACTTCCACTTGCACTTATTAAATAGATAAATATTCTTCACCTGAGTTATCAACTAACTTCTTTTGATCCTTGATTCTGCTTTCTTACAAAGAGTTAGGCTTAGAGCCATCCTGGAAATAATTTCCAATGAAAAATAGCCTAAAAAATAATAAGGATGTGTAAGCTTACTTGTACTTCTCAACAAGGACATTTTGATTTTGTTTAACATTTTAACACTGGTAATAAAAATACACACATAAATGAAATAAGGCAAAAAATGTAGTAAAATGAATTTTTTTTTCAAAGAACACCTGAAGATTTTTCATAAGGGACTTTTTTTTTGTTAGGCAAGTACAATCAATACTTCGTTGTTGTTTTTTCATAGCCACCTAGACTTTCAGTAATTGAAAGGTTGTTTATGCTTCAACACTCCATGCTATTCTGAATTCCTCATTTCAAATATGCATCCCTTTATTCTTTGAATCAAATTTTAAATGCAGTTTTAGCTTTAGAAGCTAAAAATAATAATATGTAAATAGTATTTTATAACATGGAGTTGTACCTAAACTTGTTTTTTTAACTTAGAAACAAAGATTTGAAAGATTATGAAGCTTGGCTTGGAGTTCATGATGTCCATGGAAGAGGAGAAGAGAAACGCAAGCAGGTTCTGAACATTTCCCAGCTGGTATACGGCCCCGAAGGATCTGATCTGGTCTTGCTGAAGCTTGCTAGGTTTGCTCCTTTAGAAGATTAACTTAGGATTTGTTTTTAATACAGATAACGATTACTGAAACAGTTTTCTTCCAAGTCAACTATCTTTCGACTTATCTCCTTTGTCATAAGTCAGATATCTGTATGTACGTGCACATGTATGTGTGTGAATTGCAGAATTTCATATATGTAAAAATGAAGTTGAGTCTGATTAGCCTGTTTTAAAACTGAATTTTAACGATCAGTTTTAATAGCATTAACAAGTAAAACAATGAAGTTTTTGTTTTTGGTTTGCTGGGTTTTTGTTTTTGTTTTTGCTAGTCAAGAACTTGAATTCTGGGCTTGGCTACTGTCCTTAGGTATTTATTTGTTTTCTGTGCATAAGACTAGAACTTCTAGCACTTGAGCTATATCCCCACAGACTTTTCTGCCTGGCCTGGCTTCAGTTGAGATCCTTAGCTCTCAGCCTCTTGAATAGCCAGGACTACAGGTGTGTATTGCCTGTGCCCAGCAGAAAACAATGACTTTTCAAGTAAATACAGTGATAATTTACTCTTGAATGTTAGTAAACAAGAACTAAACAATGACTTTGAAATACAGTGATAATTTATTCTTGAATGTTAGTAAACAAGAACTCCCTTCTCTACCTATTGGAAATTTTGTCACTATGTGTTAGACATTTCTTTATTCCAACTTCTTTTATTATTTTTATTTTTTAATTTAAATTTTATTGTAAAGGTGTTGTATAGTTATATAAGTAAGGTAATGAGTACATTTGTTTTTGAACAGTGTTAGCACCTCCCTCATTTTCTCCTATTTATTCCCTTCAATCCCCATAACCTCTCAAGTTGTAAAATCCAATTCCAACATAGTGTCTAGTGAGTATTACTGCTGAATTGGTTCACCTTTTGTCCATCATTTCTGTGATTCCCTTTCCCTTCCCCAAATCAGATAAACTTATATACAAGACAAAGGGTACAGAAATTAAAAAAAAACAGTGACAACAGAAGATAGAGCACAGGAAAAAAAAAGAAAGACAAAAGAAATAACTGAAAATCAGTACAATAATAAAAAACAAAACTTCTTATTTCCATTTCTTGGAAATCATTCCAATAAACATCATTTTATATGGTCATATGTACATGGTTATTGAGGCATTGTGATCCTCTCCTTCTTTGTTCTCACTGAGAATGATTTCAGTGCTGTTTAATAAATCATATAAATCTTTATTATCTATGCATAAGAAAAGGGACTCATGTCTAAATTATACTTAGAGCTCAAAAAATTAACCCTCCAAACAAATCCTCAAAGAAACAACATGATTAATAAGTGGGCTAAAAATTTAAAGATAGACGAAGATAGAAGAAGAAGGAGGAGGAGGAGGAGGAGGAGGAGTAGGAGGAGGAGGAGGAGAAATAGCCAATTGGCACATGAAGAAATGTTCAACATCTCTGGCTACAAAAGAAATGAACATCAAAACAAAATTGAGATTCTAACTTACCCCAGTTAGAATGGCCATTATCATGAAAACTAATAATAATAGATGCTGGTAGTGATGTGGCCAAAAGAGAGTTAGCACTACACTGTTGGTGGGAGTGTAAACTTGTTCAGTCACTCTGGAACACAGTATGGAGGTTCCTCAAAAGACTTAATATAAGGCTCCCTTATAACCCAGCAATCTCACTTCTGGGCATTTACCCTACTGTCCACAAACTAGCCCACACAAAAGCCATCAGCACAACCTTGTTCATTGCAGTGTTATAGCTAAGATATGGAATCAAACCAGCTTCTTTTAAACAAGACTTTATTGTCTTAAAATCTTATATGAATATGAACAGTACATTTTTAAAGAAATTCATGTTGCGTTGAATCCAGTTGAGGACACTTACTGTTTTCTTTTCTTTTCAGGCCTGCTATCTTGGATAGTTTTGTTAGTACAATTGACTTACCTAATTATGGATGCACAATTCCTGAAAAGACCACTTGCAGTGTTTATGGTTGGGGCTATACTGGATGTAAGCTATTTTTTTAAAAAGATTAGGCAATATATTTATTTTATATTGTTTTATATTTGTTTCTGGCTTCTCTTGCCTTTTTCCTGCCCTCATTAACTGTATATTTCTTACACCATTCCAGTGATTAACTCTGATGGTCTGCTACGAGTAGCACATCTCTATATTATGGGGAATGAGAAATGCAATCAGCACCATCAAGGCAAAGTGACTCTGAGTGAGTCTGAATTATGTGCTGGGGCTGAAAATATTGGCTCAGGACCATGTGAGGTAAGAAAGATGCTTTTTCATAAAGAATCTATGGGTTTATCCTGGATTTTGTTTATTTTTCACAAATAAAAATTGTATACCAACCTGTTCTCAGATAGAGGAACCGTAAAACCTTACCCTGGATTATTTTTGTCCATTTCTTTTAGTTACACATTGAATCAACTCATGCTTCAGAAACAGCAAACTGGGAGGACATTTGTCCTCAAAAAACCAATAAATAAACATAGCCAGAACCTTAGGAGGAAGTTGTTCATGTCAGAAATACCAAATCAGTTTAATATAATAGTTTTAGTTTGTCTAAATGATCTTCCCAAATTTTCCCTCTATAAACCTCATTAGTAATATCCAGAGACATGTGCCTGGATTTAAACTTTAATGGATGATTTTGTTGAGTATGTGTACATGTGAACATCCCTATGTGTGTAGGGATATGTGGTTCTTTGTGTGTGTGTGTGTGTGTGTGTGTGTGTGTGTGTGTGTAAACAAACTGTGCTTTCTTAAAAATATTAAGTAAAGGTCAAAGTGTATGACTTTAAGAGCTGGGATGTTTTTATTTGTTAGTCAACTGTTCTTTACACATGGCTGGATTCCCATTCTCATATTACATAGAAAAGCTGCTGAAGTGTTAGTCTGGATGGTTTTTGGTGAGAAACATGTTCTCCAAGCCTCAAAGGAATGGGATTCTTGCTTATTATGCATAATATCATGAAAGAAATGGGCTTGATGATAGTGAAACGTTTGTTGATCATGTGAGAAACTGGGTACTCTAAGTGTGTATATTATATGCCTTGGGTACTACAGTGTGTATATTATATGCCTTGTGCTGATATTTTATTCCTGTAAAGGAAAGAAAATTATAAATTAAAGAGCTTTCAGCACTGATTTAAAATAATGTGGATAAAAATGATTTTGTTTATACATATTTTCCAGTTTGGTCTTTCCAGCAAATGACTATTAATGTGTGGCACAAGGGAAAATTATGGCAAGGGAATTCTACTGCAAGAAAAAATAAACCGATATCGTTTTTGAAAACTCAAACTGCTTTGTGAGTGTAAAAGTTTCCAGGAAGGCCCAATCTCAGTGATCCTCTAGAAAGCAGTGTCCTTTACCCAGCCCTGGAGCCATTATTCACAATACTTGGCAGCTGCATTTTCGAATAGCCTTAAGCTAGTTCATTGTGTATACTCTCTCAGTTCCCTGAGTCCATTTAGCCTTTGGGTATTTGTCCCTCTGACCTATATATTCTCCATATATTGATTCCACCACTTCTCAAAACTGTATTTATCTTCCAGAATGTTTACATGTATTTAAAGCTTAAAGCACTCACACCACGCATACACACACACACACACACACACACATCATTTAAAACAAAATATTTTAATCATTCACTAAAAAAATGAAAGATAAATTTCCCTATATATTTATATTATAGCAATAGCATCACATCTACTATTATCTTCAAAATCATATCAGGAAGCACTGATGCACTGTAGAGAGCTCCATATTCTTACAGAGTCACAGTTGACACAATCATGTTCGGATATTTTTCCATACGTTTTGATGCTTAGCATATCAATGGCTTATATTCTTGCCCATAAGTGAACTGTACAATCACAGAACAAAAGTTACAATGATTTTGTTTGCTTTTGATAACATTACCTTTAGAGAAAAAACAAGGTAGTCCTAAACACTCTCCTTTATATGTGCATTCCTAAAGCCAGTCCTTGCAGTCCTAGGAGGATGCGTGGACACCTGTATACTGATGTTTGTTGTTGTGCTGCTCACAATAGCCAAGCTATGGAATTAGCCTGGGTGGTGATCCATAGATAAATGGATAAAGAAATATGATGTATATTCATTATATAGATTTATTTAGTCATAAAGAAAAAAATTTTATTGTTTTTAGGAAAATGATTTCGATTGGTGAACTTCATGTAAGCAAAATAAACTGGTATGAAGAAAATACCAGTGTTTTTTGCTTTTCTGAACTCAAAAAGGACAAAACCCATTTTAAAAATGAAGAGATATTTTGGAAGAAGCATGGTATTCTTAAATGAAGACCACATGTGAGAGAACTAAGAACTTATTCATCTTTATGTATTTCAATCCTAACTTAGTAAATTCCATAGAAAAGCAACCAAAGGTCTAAATGACACCCATTTTTATCTCCTGTTCGTGTTTATCTACCCTTGATAGTCAAATCAATATACATAATATCAATGGATTTTTTTTTATTTCTGAAATAATACTTTATTGTGTTGCATGTCTTTTTTCCCAGGGGGATTATGGTGGCCCACTTGTTTGTGAACAACATAAAATGAGAATGCTCCTTGGGGTCATTGTTCCTGGCCGCGGATGTGCCATCCCAAATCGTCCTGGAATTTTTATCCGAGTAGCATACTACGCAAAGTGGATGCACAAAGTTATTTTAACATATAAGGCCCAGCAGTCATAGCTGAAGTGTCTGAAGCATCCATCAACCCATAGAAATCTTACATGAAGATTTCAGAGAATGTGGAACTAAAATGTCAGCTGAAAGAATTTTAAAACAACTACTTGAGTGTCCTGTTTGTTAAGATACTCACTAATATATAGGGGTGTTATCTGTTGTTCTGTTTGTCAGTGTTATTTTTGTAAATGTTGAAATGAATTAAGGTACATGCAAGTGCAGTAACATATCTCCTGAAGATACTTGAATGGATTCTTTAAAATGCAAAGGTATAATTGCCAGATGAGAAAAGATTGAATGGAGAAGATCAAGTAGTCACTCACTATGCTGCTTTCCAGGTTAAGTTCTTAATGGTAAATAAACTGTAAGTTAACTATTATTGTAACCTCACGAAGACAATTTATAACTTGTGTTCTTAAATTGTAAGTCTATATTGAATTATGACTTTTCATGTGCCACGTGTTGCAGTTCATCCATTCTTTCTTTCCATGTAACCTGCAGTACTGGCCTACAAATATACTTAACAAAACAACAACAACCAAAAAAAAAATGCCCATTGCAAATGCCTGGAAACACAGGTGTCATGCACAGCAATTAAAATTGTGGTGTCTTCAATATAATTTAAATAGTTTGGAGGTATGTGCCTATAGTTTTTCTTCAAGATAAAAACATAGAATAGAAACAGTAAAAATATTCAGGAAGGGTGCAGGATAGAAATGACTATCTTTTATGCACTATCTATAGATGACCTCCACTGGTAGGCATTTAAAATGAGGCCAGGACCCACTACTTAAGTAATGCCTAATCTAGGTGTTTACATATATTTATTATCCTAGTTATTTCCTGTCATTTTTTTAATTACTAAAGGGAAGAGAGTAACGTGTGTATTTGCAGTATTACTTTCCTCAAAATTAGTACCACTTATTTATATAAGGTACCTGTAGATCTATTTTCCTAAACCATTTTTAAATTCTCAAGTATGTGTCTCAGTGAAGAAATTTATGTTTTTTTTTCATTAAAAGTATATGTAAATAGGTTAATTCCAAGACTACTACTATGATTGGCTTCTAACTCACTCTCCTTAAATTGAAATAATAAGAAGATGAAAGTTTCCACGTCTCCCAAGTTTTATCCATGTTTTCTCATAAAGTTATGCATAAAGGCATATTTTGGAGGAAAAAACTGAACTTTGTGGAAGTTTTATTCTTGCAAAAGGGGGAAAAGTAGTATAAAAAGGAAGGAAAATAACTAGTTTGTCTAAATTCTATTTGATTATTTTGTTCAAAAGATATTTGAATCTCATAGATCAAAGGTTTTATCAAGAAATTTCATTTTATCTTACTTTATTTAACATAACTCTTTGCTAATGCCATAGGGGTTGTTCATTTAAATTTTTATTCTCTGTCATAGCTAAATTATTATATTATCATAGTGACTAGCCAACAATCATATTTATTAATCAATTGGGATTACAAAGAGTAATAGGAGAGGTTCTCATTTGTCACAAAAATCTTCCTGTACAAATCCGGAATAAGTATAAATAACTATCTTAATGTTTGAATCTGTTGTTCTCATTCTCCTTTCTATTATTGTTTCTCTTAAATCTTCTTTGTTAAGAACAAGCAATGTTCTTCAGTGTCTTTAGTGTACTGTTTAATCTGGAGTAAAATGGTTCTAAATTTACTGAAGAGTGTAGTTGACAGAGAACAGGGCAGTAAATCTAGAAATGCTCATGCAGATTGTACACACACACACACACACACACACACACACACACGGTAATAAAGTGGCACTGGTGTCAGGAAACAGAGAAAGCAAAGAGATACAACTAATTGCCTGTCTACACCATCTTGCCTTGATTTTACTTCTTTTACCCTGATATAATACAACACTTTAATAACCATATATAGGAATTTCAACTATGTATTTTCAAAACATTAAAGTACTTTTCCTAGTTTCTTCTTGCTGAATTGGCCAGGCTTCAACACGTTTGTCATATTGGTAAAACTGTAATAACATCTATAATACTTTAAAATATTCACATTTACAATACTTCTCATGGTTTTGTTGTAAATTTCCAAGAAAAGAAAAGTAGAGATTATCTAGATACTACTAACAATTTAGACATTTTGAACTCAGTGTTTTCCCTTGTGTTAAAGATAAATCAACATCAATAAATCACTGAATTTGGTGGCCCTTTCTTGGGGAAGTGTTCTTTGTGATAGAGGGAAATGGATATAATTGACAACGAGAACAAGATGAACAAGATGCATGTCACTTTTGGTGGTAGGTCAGGGTATAATCATGCCATTATTCTCTGATGAAAGATATTATTTATTGAGTGTTTTTCTTTGAAGGGAGTACAAAAATTGAATTAATCTAAAAATCCATTTTATTTCACTAATGGATCTTTTAAATTAAAAGTTTCCAATGTTGTTCTTTGTTTTGGCTGTTGGCATTGTTATGGTTATAGGCTATTGTCACTGTAGACATTTTTCTTATGTCTAGCAGGAACAGGAATGTAAAATTAAAATATTTGTTGTGATTCTTCTGCTGTGCAGAAGGGCTGATAATCCTTTTGTATATTTCTTTAGTTTTATTGTAAAGTATGTAATGACTTTTACCTATTTGCTGTGGGCAGGTCCTCAGTAGATTGGCTTATGCTGAGTCAAGCTATAGTATTAACAGGCTCTTGCTGTTTGTGTTTCAACTGACAGGACTGTGAGAAACTAGACAGCAAGGAAACTAACAATAATGGCATGTGATGGCAAAATGGTATTTCACTTATTCCTGTGAATATTTCTTGTTGGTACCAATGGTACTGTACAAAGTGAATGTGATAGCCACAACCATTGATTGAAAACAATACTGTCAAGAAATAGAAATTTCTGTCTGATATTTTCTTGTTGTTCCTAAGCATTCCTTGTCTTAAAGAAATACTTATTTGAAATAAATAAGCCTTATACTGATTCACTGAATTTTGTAAAAGCACTATATTCAATTATTGTATCTGATGTTTATAGAAAAAACTGATCTAAAAATAATTTGAGTAAAAAGATATCAGTTGAGAACTTTGTAACTACAACTTTTTACTAAATTGCTTTTCAAGATGGAGTACATAAAAGACATTAGATATCAGTAGTTAACTGAATTTACAATCAAGAATTTGCCAATTACAAACCAAATGTCCAAATTTTGTAAACCCTGTAACTCTTGACAGTGTGACTTTAAAAACATTTCCATTTGCACAGAAAGTTTCTGTCTTTAGGAAACTGAAAATGGAATACTGTGGATATTATGACTGCTTGTCTGTGTGTAAATAGGAAAATGATAAGCTGCCTATTGAGTGGTATAGCAGAATGCATACCCCAAAAAGGGAACACTGTGGTTATGACTTGTATGATAAATCTCTGTAGTTAATAAAGTTGTTATTTTTATAGCCATAATTATATTATTCTTAATAATAATAAAATATTTTATCAAAATGCTGCCCTTCTTTTTCTTATTATTATGAATATATTTACATGAATTCTAGAACTGTAAGGTAGAATACAGTAACATTAATTTTATTGACCAAAATTACATATAGTTTGTTAAAAGAAATGTCTTATAACTTGTTGTAGAGAAAATACTAAATATTATTTTGTTCCAAATTTCATTCCTCTCAGTATAACTAGTCTTCAGCAAACCATTTGTCTATATAGACTTTTATTTCCCCACCTGTAAAATATAATTATTCAGTAATCTTTCATATTTTCATAATGTTATTAATTTGCCCCATTTACAAAATTTTAAATGATGGCTTAATTTCCTTCCTTACATCACTGTAAGTTACAAAAGTAATTTTAAATTATTAGGTTCATCAAATTTGGAGTATCTTTTCAAAATGTTTATCATATTCAGAATAAATATGAATCAATTGTGCTTATGTAATTACATTTGGAAGTAGTTAACCATGACTTAATCAAGTTCTCTGAGACACTATTGGTGATTTCAAACTATGTAATAGTGTTTTGATTTTTTTTCTAGTTTCTAGAACTCCATCTAATTCCAAATATACATTACATTCTATTAAGTAAAATATTAAAGAGAGTTTTTTTAAATTTTTACAAATGATACATTTTCAATAGAGTTTATAGTTAATATCATGGGTAAGATAGATAACATGAATTTATCTCTTACAGAGAAAATACTGACTAGGTGAGTGAGTCATTTGTGAAAATTACTTTTCTATACACAACAGAAAATATTTTTATTGAACAAAGAAAAGAGAGCTTTTAATTTTTTTATTGTAAAGATACTGTACACATGGGTTACAGTTACATGAGTAAGATAATGAGTGCATTGGCTATTGAGATGTTACCTCTTCTTCTGTTTTTCCCTTACTATCCCTTCCCTCCCCCCATCCCCAACTGCTCCCCCCAAGTTATAAAGTTCATTTTTCAACATACTGTCTTGTATATCTCATTCTTACAATGGGTCAGCCTGTATCCCTGTTTCTGCATTTTGTTATTTCCCTTCCCCTTCCCAAATTAGAAAAATGTACATACAAGATGCAGGGCACCAGAATCAAATACAGTGACAACAGGGGTTATACCATAGGTAGAAGAACAAACAAAAGAAACAACAAAGCCGGGCGCTGGTGGCTCATGCCTGTAATCCTAGCTACTCAGAAGGCTGAGCTCTGAGGATCGCGGTTTAAAGTCAGCCTGGACAGGAAAAGCCATGAAACTCTTATCTCCAATTAACCACCAGAAAGCTGGAAGTGGCACTGTGGCTCAAGTGGTAGAGCGCTAGCCTTGAGCTGAAGAGCTGAGGGACAGCGCCCAGGCCCAGAGTTCAGACCCCATGACCGCCGGGGAAAAAAAAAAGCTATTAAAACAGTTTCTCAAGTGTGATAGTTTACCTACAAAGCTTACCTGGAATGTGATTTTTTTTTTTTTTTAGTCGGTCGTGGGGCTTGAACTCTAGGCTTGGGTGCTTTCCCTGCACTCTTCAGCTCAAGGCTAGCGCTCTACCACTTGAGCCACAGCGCCACTTCCGGTTTTCTGGTGGTTTATTAGAGATAAGAGTCTCACGGACTTTCCTGCCTGGGCTGGCTTTGAATTGCGATCCTCAGATCTCAGCCTCTTGAGTAGCTAGGATTTCAGGCGTGAGACACGGGCGCCCAGCTCTGATTCTTTTTAAACCTGGAAAATGTTGTTTCCTAATATAGTTGATTCCTGTTCATGATGCTTTAATGAATTGTTACACGTCCATGTCAGAAAGTACCTCCTCAGTCCACAATTCTTCTGTGCTTTACTCATCTTCATGAGTCCCACATTTGAACTAATACAGCATCAAAAGGGGCTGTCAATCACCGTTCAAACAATAACCAGCATGTCATGTAAAACTAACAGCAAAAGTTTTACTCCAAAGAAACTGTACTCTTCCTTTGTCCTTTGCATTTGCATTTGGACAATTTCATGAGTTACTTATGAAGGCTAAATTTAAATTAAAAGAAAAAAACACTTGTAATTTCAGGGCACACGTTAAAGTCTGTGTTATGGCCTTAAGCCATATCAAAACAGAAAATACTTGAAAAACAAAAGCCTCATTTGTACTTTATGTCAATGTATGCTTATGGAAGAGATTAGTTTTTTGTTGTTGTTTTTTGTTTTTTGTTTGCCAGCTGTGGGGGCTGAACTCTGGGCCTGGACGCTGTCCCTCAGCTCTTCAGCTCAAGTCTAGTGCCCTACCACTTGAACCACAGCACTACTTCTGGCTTTTTTCTGCTTATGTGGTGCTGAGGAGTCGAACCCAGGGCCTCATGCATGCAAGGCAAGCACTCTACCACTGAGCCAACTTCCCAGCTCCAGAAGATTAG